TGCCAAGAAGGAAGAATTAGCCAGTTTAGGCTAGGAACAAGTAAGTGGACTGATTTGTTGAGTGGGATGTGCTTGGCCAGATGTAATGTGAAGTCACCTCTAGGAGGAGAAGACAAAAGAGAAGCTGAAGCATGCTTAGAGAGTGGCCCTGCTATGCCTGGCCTACAGGAACTAAAGCAGTTTTATCATTTCTGAGTCATGGGGGAGGAGCTGGGAACTACATGTGGAATTCCCTTCTCTTGTTCAATGAATAGAACATAGCACACTTAGTTAACTCTATGAATATGAACACTCGTTTCCCCTTTCCTAAACTCCTGTGTTGAAATTCTCATCTTTAAAGTGATGATTTTAGGAGGTGGGACGTTTGGGACTTGATCAAATCTTGTGAAGAAAGCCCTTGTGATTTGGGTTAGCCCTTCTAAAAGGGAACATAGGTTGCTCACCTCTGTCACCATGTGAGGAAATGGCAAGAAGGCATTCTCTATGAATCAAGAAACAGCCTTTCACCAGACAATCTGACAGCACCTTGATACTGAAGTGCTTAACCTTTAGAACCATGAATAACAAATTTAAGTTGTTTATAAGCCATCAAGTGTATGGTATTTTGCAATAGAAAACTGAATGGACTAAGAAAGTACAGTAACAATAGCCAACTGTAATGAGTTTATACTCTGTGCCAGTCAAGTTGCAAAAATATTTTACATGTATTGCACCATTTAGTCCTTATATCACTGGGAGGTAAGTGTTATATATTACTTCTTTGTCAATAAAGAAACTCATGAATAGAGAGGCTAAAATATGTGACTCAGGGTCACTTAATTTTGAAGTGGCTAAGCCAGAATTTTATTCTAAGTCTGTCTCTAGAGATGACATGTTTAGATACAGGGCAGAGTCACTCATATCAACTCATGCCCATGAGAATTGACAGACTTTAGGGAAGCACACACACATTCACTTAGTAGGAGCCATTATGTATGATGGAGGTTAAGACCTGTGGATTCAAAGACAATTTAGACCCTAATAAGGCTTGACATAGTCCTGGGTAAACACACAACCTCATAGAGATTCATCTTCCCTTGTGGGTGAAAGATGGCCAAAGATGGCAAGTGAGAGATGTTGAAAGCAATCGTTTGGGAGTCTGTCAGCAAGTTGGTTGGTGCAAACACACACACACACACACACACACACACACACACACACACACACACACGGAGTTTTAATTACTGGGATTTTGTTTTGTAATTTGTTTGATTTTAGTGCTGAGGCACAACAATCGGAAGACCTTGCATTTGATATGCTAGCTCTGGACCACCGAACAACACCCTGGCCCTAGTAATATGCCTCTTTATATTTTAAATAAGTTTCGACATATTGAAAATAAAAGTAAGCAGAGGAGGAGGAGGATGAAGAAGAGGACAGACAGATTAACATCATAAAACTAAATCAAGCCATTTAGTTCTCTAATGCAGATAGTTTCCAATGCAAGGGGTATGATACAAGATAAACAATCAACCTTATGAAGGGCATTTTAAATTTAGATGTAAACTGTAGGCTGTCTAGTGGAACTGATTTGAGCTTTATTTTGACCTGGCAGCTTCTTCTAAGTTACTGAATCAACCCCTTGAGGATTACCATGACAGCAGATTAGAGCGTGAAACCAGTCCTTTTCAGTAGCCATAGATTCATAGAAGTCATGCATTCAGTTCTGAGCAATTACTGTCAATTTAGAGATTCACGTTGAAAGAAGGAAGTGTATAATTAATCAAGCAGAGACGTATAGAACCAGAGCAGGAACGATTCCATGGTATAATAGACAGAATTGGGGGTGGGGAGAGAAGGGGACTCTAGTCGCTTTTTCTTAACACTCTTCATAGTTTGGTGTTAAAGAATTCAAGAACTTCTAATTTGGACTTTTGCTAAACAAAGAGAAAATTATGCAGAAGCCCTGAAGATGTCCTCTTCTGACACTACTTAATCATTCATGTGTTCAACAAGGGTCACACCAGGAACTCTGCGTGGCTGGCACTTGTGGATGTGGAGAGTAATCAGGTCGAAGGCCTGACCTCACGGTAAGGGCATAGCATAGTGGGATGGATGAGGAAATAACAGGAAAAGAAATTTGGTAAGTAACATAGGAGCAAACTTTTACCCTGAGGGGTCTACGTGTTTGAGAATGAGAGTAGGAGAGACATCATTCAGAAAAGCCTAAAAATATGACACCGCCTCACACAACGGGGAAGAGATGAGCATGAGCATAGAGTTTTCTTATTTACAGTAGCGATTTTATTTTATGTGTTTGTATGTCTGTTATACATGTGTGCCCTGTCAATTCAAGAGACCACAGAGATCACAAAATGGTGTTATGTCCCCACGGGACAGGAGTTTCCCAGGTGATTTCCACCAGTTTCCCAGGTGATTGCCAGCTGCCCGATGGTTGCTGGGAACCAAACTTAAGAGCAGTAACCTGTTTTAAGTGCTGAGCCATCTTTCCAGCTTATGCACTGATTTCCTCTGATAGAAAAATGTCGCCTTCTCTTAGGGGTAAGATGATGCCTATTATGAGGGAGTTTGCATTCTGGATCGAGTATGTGTGTGAACACCAGTGTCCCTTTAGAAGGAACAAGGAGGGGGAAAGGACGGAAAAACACTCCAAATGCTCATGGGAAAGGAGCAGGTTTAGAAAGTCTAGAAATACTTTGGAATTGACATATGAAGAAGTGGGCTAAAATATGATAAGTGCAGAGAGTTAAAATTCTGCCTGGGGTTACATGGAAGGAGACACGAAGAAAATTGTCAACAAGGTTACAAATCTTTGGTAAGGAGTCAGTCTTCAGGAAATGCAGAGCGACTGGAGAATCAGGAGGCCCCTGCCCTCCCTGTTCCTCCTTGCCACTAAAGTACACACTGTACCTCTATTCTTGCGAGTAAAAGAATAGAGAATGTCAACTGCCTTGAACACCATCTGCAGTATTGAAAGCTGCTGTCCTTGAGGCATTTGAGATGTAGTAAAAAGAAGCAGGGCACGGGAGCCAGAAGGCCGGGCTTTCAAATGCCGTACTTTCATAAAGCAGGCATGATAACCTCTGTAGACTGCCCAGACTTCTTGTGAGGCTCAGACAAGATGCTAGATAGAAGAGCATTTTGTGAACACTTAAAGAACCCATGCTGGGATGTCGACTCCCTCTGTCCTATGAACCCCCTACAGTAATCAAAAACCCTCAAGGATAAATGAGATAATCGATGGAAAACACTGAACCCCTCTGAAGGAATTTAGTGTAGGGAAATATTAATAATAGCGATTCACATCTGCTTTTTGCTGATAATGCCTCCCTTTAAAGTCTGGACACCAAAAAAGCACAACATACAAGGTCCTCTGCTGTTTGTTGAAAGCCCTCTACTGCTGAAAGGCGACAGCGGCGCCAAGTTTTTGCCACTAAGTACTTTGCTTTCAACTCAAAAAGAATGTTGATCCTCCTTCTCCTCCTCTTCTTTAAGTTTTCCATTGTTCTTGACAAAAACTGGAGAAGGACATATTTGCATAAATACCATAAGCATATAATCATGGCTGTCTTTCCATCTCCTGAGGTCATATAGCAGACAATAATAGATTATGATAAGCAACTGGTCAGATCTGAACAGAGCCCTTCAAAGCACTTTGACATTGGATGGCACAAGAAGAAACCATCCTGAGTGAGGGGTAACACAGTCACAAAAAGACAAACATGGTAAGTACTCATTCATATATGGATTTTAGACTTGGACCAGGGGAGTGCCAGCCTACAATCCCACTGCCAGAGACTCTGGGAAACAGAACCTTCAACCAATGGCTGATGGAAGCAGAGGCAGACACCTATAGGTAAACACTGAGCTGAACTCAAGGAACCAAGAGATAGAGAGGAGCAAAGGGTCAAGACTGGGCTTGTTTAACCCACAGAAACAGCTGATCTGAGCAAGGGGGAGCTCTTTGAACCCCAGACTGATGACCGGGAATCCAGCATGGGACTGATCAAGACCCCCTGAATGTGGGTGTCAGTGAGGAGGCAATATATGGGGCCTTGGGTAGTAGATCAGTATTTGTCTCTGGCATACAAATGGACTTTGGGTGCCCATCCCACAAGGAGAGATGCACTCTCAGCCTTGATTCTTGGGGGAGGGTCTAGGCCCTGGCCTGGATGAAATTACAGACTATGGACACCCCCAAGGGAAAGCCTCATCCTCCATGGAGAAAGGAGTGGGCATTGGGGGAGGGAGGTGGGGGATTGGTGGGAGAGTATGGGAGGAGGGGAAGGAGAGGGAGAGGGACCTGGGATTGACAAGAGAAGCAACCTTGTTTGTAATTTAAATTTAAAAATAAATTAATTAATTAAAAAAAAAGAAATTCTGTATGGAGCAGAGCACCAAACATGAAGTGTTTTTCTGAAGGTAAACTGATGGGATGCTGTCAGCCACATGTCTTAGAGAGGGCTAGATTCTTTTAAGTTCAATTCCATGCTTCTGACTGAAGGCACTGCACTGTGACTGGCAGCTCTAGTCGTTGTCCAATGACTCAGACAAGAATTGTTCCCAATGTAAAACCAGGTGTAATTCTTCAAAATGAGGGACAATTAGCATAAAGGCAGGTGGGAGTGGGCAGGGGTCCAGAAGCAAGAATAGTTGGTCCATATCACCACAAACATGTTTTTCCTACTCCAGGGGCTCTCTGGTGAAACATGAAAGCAAGGTCCCAAGAAATCCGTGTTTGTGTGTACATGTTCCTGTGCATGAGTACATGTGTGTGTGGAGGTCACAGGTCAGTTTCTTGTGTCAACTGTAGAGAGAAGCCTTCCCTCCAGCCTGGTTCCAGAGCTGCATCAGTCCCAAATGAACACACAAGATGCTGTATTAATTATGAAGCTGCTGGCTGTTGGGGAAGTCTTATGCTAATAAAGCACTGTCTGGCCAATAGGAATCTAGATAGGTGGGGCTAGGAGTCCAGGAGGACTCTGGGTAGGAGTAACACCAGGAGTTCGAGATGTAACCGCCATTGGGGTAGGAAGCCTGGAACCTCTCCGGTAAGAAACATACTTAGATTAACAATTATGGGGTAATTACTTAAGGCAGAGCTAGCCAGTAAGAGACAAACAAGGCCAACAGCTTCATAATTAATATAGCCTCCTGTGTGTTTATTTGGGACTCATGCGGATCTAGAACCAGGCTGGCGCAGCAGAGCCCAGGCGACTGGCGGGGGATACACCAAAGCGGCTAGCAAAAGAAAAAGCTTCTCTTAACATAATGGTGATCAGGAGTGGGATCATAAATTTCCACGAAAAATAACAGAAGATTTGAAGGAATTTTAGAAACAGAAGAACGGAGAGAAGCACAGATTTTTGGTAGCAGCATTTTTCTCAGGTGTGCTCTGTTTTGCTATCAACAAGCCGAGATTCACGTGGCTCGTTTACCGGAGTCTTCCTGACTCGGCATAAAAAGAAAAAAGAAAAAGAAAAAACCAACAAGGTTGTTTTAAGAGACTCTGCTAACGATTGAAAGGTGTGTACGTACAGCTGGAAGTGGCAGCTTTTGCTGGATGTCAGCATGGACTCAGGCGGTAAGCTGGAGTCATGCTTACGCCCGCCATCTTGACGGAAAAACCGACAGTTTAAAACAGCCACGGTTTTACAGATAAGACACGTGGCCAGAAAAACATAAAGATTTACAGTAAAGTCAGACTTGGATAAAAAAAAAACTTCTAAAGGTTTACAGTGTGTTTAAAAATATATGTGAGATTGAGAGAGAAACTGAAACGACAAAGTGGTAAATAAATACAAAAGCCGGCTGTGGTGGCGCACGCCGGTAGGAATTGCCCCAGAGGCAGAGGCAGGCAGGTTTCCGAAGAGAAACCCTGTATCAGAGAAAAATAAATAAAAGTGAAAGAAATAAAGTAATAATAGATAAATAAATAAGCCACGTAAAGATGGAAAATACACAGAGAGTCTGGATACTGTACACTATTGTGTTTTTCAGTTTTTTGCTTGCTCAGGAAGGAACTGATACTAAAGTACACTTGCTTATAAATGCTGCTAAATTAATACAACTTATATCTTTTGAAAATACCTTGACTTCAAAATTTAAGCATAAGGATATGTTACTCGGAAAAGGAGTTTTTATTTATGTTTCTACAGAAAATGAAAAGCTGAAGATTTCTTCCAGGCTTCTGTGGTTGCACGAACCAAGACCCCCGGAAGCAGTGGACCAGGTGTTCCAACAATTGAGACAGCTAAGATGATGCAGCTTTACAGACCACGAAAATAAGGACTTATACAGGTTTCTGAGTTTTGTCATGATCCCCATGGTATGAACAGCGCCCCCTTCCAGCAGGAAGCAGTTTGGAATGAGCGACGTCCCAATTCCCATCTTGTTTATAAATCTTTGTTTTCATTTAAATGGGATTGTTTATAATTGGCTAGTGATCACAGCCAATCTCCTTTTAATGGTAAAAAGGGGAATTATGGTATGGGTATTGTTTTTCATTTATTGACACAAATTCAAGGTCAATTTTGTGATGCTTATATTTCTCCTCTTGATTAAGTATTGTGCTTATACTGATCTTTTACAACGTAATGCATAATTGAATACAGACTATAGATAGTTACTTATAATAGAATTTCTAGTTACATAAGTTAGGTTTCTAGATATACAGAAATATATTTGAGATGGACAGTCTTCAAACCTCTCAAAGACCTTCAGAACATGGCATTTAAAATGGTTTAGGGTTTGTCTTGACAATGAGAAATGTCTGCTCCTGGCAGCACCAATTACGTCTGAGAGGAAGATGGGCATCGAAGAAACTCGTTATAAAGTTTGCTTTCAACATGGCAAGATTAGCCATTTGGGCAAGAAACTGCTCTTGCCTAGATTGTTTGACTGTTGTTGTATCATCTGGACATGCAGGACCTACAGGAAAGTGAATGCTGAACTCAGTCTTACAGGGTTCCTGCTTCATGGAAGAGTCCGCGAGACTTTCTGCAGGACAAAGAAAAATGAATGATAGACTGCCAGTGCAGATGGACAGTTTGAAATTTCCTGCTCTGCTGAGAAGTGTTCCAGACACATTGTGGCCTATGGGCTGAAGATGGATGCCCCAACGTTACAGAGGAACTTCGGGTGACTGTCCAGGCAGTAAGATGTCTCTGTCAATCCTAGTGTTTATATATTATCCTTCTGTGGTCTTTGATGGAGTTGAAGACAGATAGTTATAATTATAGTTTTCCTTAGTTATGAGAAAAGATAAGCTACATATAGGACTTTGGATGATATTTTCTTTAAATCTTGCTAAAATATTGTAACTATGTTCTTATTTGATAACTGTTCTGTTATATACAATTTGACTGTGTTAAAGTTAAGACCTTTCTTTTTGTTTAAACAGAAAAGAGGAGATGTTGGGGAAGTCTTATGCTAATAAAGCACTGTCTGGCCAATAGGAATCTAGATAGGTGGGGCTAGGAGTCCAGGAGGACTCTGGGTAGGAGTAACACCAGGAGTTCGAGATGTAACCGCCATTGGGGTAGGAAGCCTGGAACCTCTCCGGTAAGAAACATACTTAGATTAACAATTATGGGGTAATTACTTAAGGCAGAGCTAGCCAGTAAGAGACAAACAAGGCCAACAGCTTCATAATTAATATAGCCTCCTGTGTGTTTATTTGGGACTCATGCGGATCTAGAACCAGGCTGGCGCAGCAGAGCCCAGGCGACTGGCGGGGGGATATACCAAAGCGGCTAGCAAAAGAAAAAGCTTCTCTTAACAGCTGGCCTTGCTTGTTTCTTATTGGCTAGCTCTGACTTAAGTATTTACACCATAATTGTTAATCTAAGTATTTCTTTTACCAGAGAAAGGGTCTGAACTTCTTACGCCTATGGCAGCTACATGGTGATTCCTGTGTTTTCTCCTTCCCAGAGTTCTCCTCGAATCCTAGTCCCACCTATCTTGCTTCCCTATTGCCCAACAGTGCTTTATTGACATATACACAGGACTTCCCCATAATCCCCTTTTTTCTGTCTAAATAAAAAGAAAGGTTTTAACTTTAACATAGTCAAATTATATATAACAGAACAGTTATCAAGTAAGGACATAGTTACAATATTTTGTCCATCAACATTCAGCAAGATTTAAAGAAAGTATCATCTATCCCATCCTTGTGCATTCAAAGTCCTATATGTAGCTTATCTTTTATCATAACTAAGAAAAACTATAACTGTCTTCAACTCCATCAAAGACCACAGAAGGATAATAAACAAACACTAGGATTAACAGAGACATCTTGCTTCCCGGACAGTCACCCGAAGTTCCTCTGTAATGTTGGGGCATCCATCTTCAGCCTATAGGCCACAGTGTTTCCAGAAGACTTCTCAGCAAAGCAGGAAATTTCAAACTGTCCATCTGCATTGTCAGTCTGTCATTCATTTTTCTGTGTCCTGCAGAAAGTCTCGTAGACTCTTCCATGAATCAGGAATCCTGAAGGACTGTTTGAGTTTCACAGTCACTTTCCTGTGGGTCCTGCATGTCCATGTTTATACAGCAACAATCAAGCAGTCTAGGCAAGAGCTGTTTCTTGCCAAAATGGCTAATCTTGCCATGTTGAAAGAAAACTCCATGATGAGTTTCGTCGATGCCCATCTTCCTCTCAGATATAATTGATGAGCCAGGAGCAGACATTTCTCATTGTCAAGAAAAACCCTAAACCATTTTAAATGCCATTTTCTGAAGCTCTTTGAAAGGTTTGAAGACTATCTATCTCAAATATATCTCTATATATCTAGAAAATCTAACTTACCTAACTATAAGTTCTGACTGTTATAAGTAACTATCTATAGTCTATATTCAATTATACATTTTAAAAGATTAATATAAATGCAATACTTGATCAAGAGGAGAAATATACATATCACAAAATTGACCTTGGATTTGTATCAAATGAAAAACCATACCCATACCAAGTATTCATTTCCATACCATAATCCACTTTTTCCTTTAAAAAGAGATTGGTTGTGATCATTAACCAATTATAAGCAACCCCATTCAAATGAAAACAAAGATTTATAAACAATATGGGGATTTGGATGTTGCTCATTCCAAACTGCTTCTTGCTGGATGGGGGTGCTGTTCATACCATGGGGATCATGACAGAACTCAGAAACCTGTATAAGTCCTTATTTTCGGGGTCTGTAAGGCTGCATCATCTTAGCCATTTTAGATGTTGAATCACTTGGGCCACTGCTGGGGTCTTGGTTCATCAAACCACAGAAGCCTGGAAGGAATCCTTAGCTTTTCATTTTCTGTGGAAACATAAACAAAAACTCTTTTCCAAAGTAACATATGCTTATACTTAAATTTTGAAGTCAAGGTATTTTCAAAAGATATACGTTGAATTAATTTAGCAGCATTTATAATCAAGTGTACTTTAGCAGTTTTTCCTTCTTTAGCAATCAAAAAACTGAAAAACATAATAGTATACAGTATCCAGACTTTCTGTGTATTTTCCATCTTTACGTGGCTTACATTCTTCTATTTCTTTTACTATTTATTTATTTTTTTTTTTCTGAGACCGGGTTTCTCTGGAAATCAGCCTGCCTCAGCCTCTGGAGCAAATCTTACTGGTGTGTGCCACCATAGCCGGCTTCTCTATTTACCATTATGCTGTTTCTTTTTCTCTCTCAAGCCTACGTATATTTTTAAATACACTGTAAACCTTTAGAGGTTTTTCTTCATCCAAGTCTGACTTTATTGTAAATCCTTATGTTTTTTTGGCCAAGAAGTGTCTTATCTGTTAAAACTGTGGCTGTTTAAACTGCAGTTTTTCCAAGATGGCAGGCATAAGTTTGACTCCAGCTGACCCGTCTCAGTCTATGCTGACATCCAGCTAAAGCTGCTGGCTTGGAGATGTGGTCACTGCCACTTCCAGCTGTACGTACACACCTTTCAATTGTTAGCAGAGCCTCTTAAAAGAACCTTGCTGGTTTTTTCTTTTTTTCTTATGCTGAGTCTGGAAGACTCCCTTAAGCAAGCTGCGTGAGTC